CGAAGGCAGACGCCCAACGAATGAGCCACCCAGGCGCCCCTGCTTATTTTTTTAAAGAAAACAAGAAATACTCTAAATAGAAGCAGTCCAGCTTATGCTCTAGGACAAAAAACTCTGTGCCTTTGAAGCATTGCTATACTTAAAAATAATGCAAATATAGACATAAGACAACCTTGCTGACAAGTCTAAATATGGTTAGTAATGGCTTTGCTGTTTGTGAGGATTATAAATATGGATAGTAAATATGGATAAATATGGATTATAAATATGGATAGTAATATGGATAGTATTGGATACTTTATTGTAACTATGGATAAATACGGATAGTAATGGCTTTGATGTTTGTGAGGTGATAATTACTGGCAGACCAAAAACTACAACCACCAAGAATTTTGACCAGAATGGTTTCAAAAGGAGGCAAAGGACTTCTGGATGAATGTTTGGAAAAGGGTGGAAAGCTTTTACGGCTCTTCCAGACTCTTACATTTGGCCAGCATATGCATAGCTCACACTATCTCACTTTCCACTCATAAAATGGTTGTAGCCTCTGTCTCTACTTAGTGTTTAGTACTCTCTTAAAATCTTCTGTGATTATGCCCATAAAGCTTTTTGAACCCCTTGGAAGCAATACATTCTCATTTTTAAAACTTACATATGGTTATATTATCAAGTAATAATGTATAGTTTAGCATATATGTATATATATGGTTATATTGATTATCAGGTTATAATGAGTCTGTCACATGGGAAGTTTAAACATTACTAAATAACCAGAATGAGCCCATGGGCTTATTCTTGGATTCCATAAAACTGGCACACACACAAAAAAGAGTATTCTGCGCAAATCAACTAGAAAAATACTTCTAAACCACTGCTAAGACTAAATGAGCAAGGTGACATAGGAGACCAAATAATTACCCAATGAGCATTTCTTTGCGTAAAATAGGGAGAAAAAAAACCAATCTTTTCCTCCAAAACAATATTTTTCCACTAAATAGACTATCTTTTTTTTTTTTAATAGGAGTTAACATTCTCACTGTGGAAAATTCAAACAATACAGAAATGCAAAAAGAAAAATGTGAATACCATTTTATAGTTCCACTCTCCCCAAAGACCAGAGAGATAATATGCTGCCAGACCTCTTTCTAAGGATAGACACACCCACACGCCCACACACATGCGTGCACAGGTCCATATGATCGTAAGATAATGTTCCACAATGAATTTTATATAACTTTATAGACTAATATGTATAGATCAACACCATTCTTTTTTTAAAAAAACTTATTTATTTATTTATTTATTTGAGAGAGAGAGCATGAGCAGGGGGGAGGAGCAGCGGGAGAGGGAGAAGCAGACCCTTGGGCAAGCGGGGTGGGGCGGGGGGGAGCCTGACTCGGGGCTCCATCCCAGGACCCTGGGATCATGACCTGAGCGGAAGGCAAATGCTTAACCGACTGAGCTACCCAGGCGCCCTGCAACCCCATTCTTTTTACTGGCTGCAGCCATTGACTGGATACACCACAATGTATTTAATCTGTTTCCTTTTGATGAAATCTTAGGGTTTCTCTCAGTGGTTTACCTATTGAAGGAAATGCTGCCCTGAACATCTTTGAATTTTTGCATGGCCATGACCAAGTATTCCTGCAAAGGTAAATTACATAAGAGGAATCTCTGGGTCAAAGTTTATACACTTTAAAAATGTTGTTAGAGGGGAGCCTGGGTGGCTCAGATGGTTAAGTGTCTGCCTTCGGCTCAGGTCATGAACCCAGGGTCCTGGGATCGAGCCCCACATCGGGCTCCTGACTCAGCGGGGAGCCTGCTTCTTCCTCTCCCTCTGCCTCTCCCACTGCTCATGCTCTCTCTCTCTCTGTATCTCTGTGTCTCAAATGAACAAATAGAATCTTTAAAATAAAAAATAAATAATAAAAAAATAAAAATGTTGTTAGGGTTTCAATTGCTCTTCCTCCCCTCAAAAGTACTCCATGTACCCACCTCCTACATTGTCTGAGTGTCCCCTTTCTGTAGCTGTTGTTTCTGCAGCTGGAGCCATTCTTGTTAAGGTACGTTTGAAGTTTTACCCGTTTGACATTATGTTATTCTGATCAAAGACCCCTCCCCAAATGTATCATCTGATCCAGCCAATCTGTTCCCTTGCCCTGGGTTTTTCCCAGCAGGCAAATGGGAAACAGTGTTCCCTCTACTATTTGCTACACAAACACCTAAACACAGAGATCTGGAAAAGCTGGTATCCAGAATGTGGTTTAGACATGAGGTCCCGGAGGTGGCTCCCACTCCTCCTCGTTCCCAAATCTGAATGGTGCGATTCCCACCTGCTTTCTGACTTTCTGAAGCAATAATGAGCATGCAGAGAAAGAGAGAGAGAGAGAGAGAGGGTTGGCAGGGCCTCCTCAGGCCTGGAGTCAGTTTCCCCACCAGATGCAGGAAAAAGATAACGTGGATGAGATGAAGTCAACCATGAATTCATCTATTTTAACACCCAGTGCTTCCTTCTGTCCACAAATACATTTGGCACAGACAACTCTTCTGGAGAGGAAGCTAGGAAGGGCCGGGTTGAGGGAGCATTGCAGAAATGACCCCTCCCCTAATGTTGCTTCCTCCTCTCTTGATTTATAGGTCAGTTTTCATGTGTTCTTTTTTTTCTCTTTATTGGCTAGGCAGTTCTACATATATTTTTTTTTTTAAGATTTTATTTATTTATTTGAGAGAGAGAATGAGATAGAGAGCATGAGAAGGGGGGAGGGTCAGAGAGAGAGGCAGACTCCCCGCCGAGCAGGGAGCCCGATGCGGGACTCGATCCCGGGACTCCAGGATCATGACCCGAGCCGAAGGCAGTCGCTTAACCAACTGAGCCACCCAGGCGCCCTCTACATATTATTTTAATTCTACTAGTAGTCATTATTATATTCTAACAGAGAAATGTGGGCCCACATTCTCTATCAGAGTCTAATATCACATCAGAGAATTATGTTCTCTCCTACTGAGAGACCTCAGTCGGGACATTTTGCAAGCTTTCACTTTTCCCTCCCTCCCTTACACTTTCCTTTCCCAAGCTTTACTGAATAATCAGCCCAGTTTTTCAGATTTTTCTTAGAATATGACTTCTTTGTCAAGATCACTTTTAATTGCATCATACTTCAGTTATCCAAATTTATTTACATTTAACTTTGAGTTTTATTGAATTTGTACTATTGCTGCCCTTTCTTGTACATTATCTTTGTCTTTCTTGAGATCTTTATTGCGATTCTGTTTTTATTTACCTGAAGTATTTTCACAAGTAATTATCCAAAAAGTGTACCTTGTTGGTCTACTATTCCATTCTGAATCTCTCAAATTATAATCCTCTTCCTTGTTAACTTGTAGCTCTGGTAAAACCTCACATCCTTCATAGTTGTTGATATTAGAAATGGGCTTTTGAAAAGCAATTCCTTCTTTGGTTGGTGAACATTTTCAATCTGCAAACACAGTCCTTTCTCCAGTTCTGAAGAATTATATTCTATCAGTTCATTAATTATTCATTCTCCCTTGCTTCCTTTTCTTGCATTTAGAACTGATTATTTTTAGACTTCCAAATCTGTTCTCCAAGATGCTCTTTTCTCATGATCCTTCTCCTTCTTTTGTGTGTGCTCTATCAACATCGTATGGCTCTTAGAATTATCTATTATATTCTTCACTGTCATACAGACTTTTGTCAGTTATGGTTTAAATTTTTTTTTCAAAGAATTATTCTTGTTTTCAGAGTGTTTCTTTTTGGTAAAAGCCTGGCTTTCGTTGTGAATATGAATGAGAAGTTTTCTTCTAAGCTCTCTCCTGGTTCTTGTTTCAACATGTTCATTTGTTCAACAATCAGCTTGGTGCTCTCCTTTTGACCGGATGATTGTACTTTATGTGGTTAGCGATTTGGTCTAATCGTCCAGCTTATTTAGTATTGTTAGCCGGGGTGTCTCTTACATAATTCTTGTAGCCGGTGTGAGTACTTAACATAATTCTTGTAGCAGATCGGAAGGAGATTGGAAGTCAGAGGAACGTGCTTCTGGGATTTCCCAGGAGGAAATGGTCTGAGAGTTGACAAATCGAAGTCATTGAGCCTTCTGTTAGATGAATGGGTGGTAAGGGCATGCTGCAGGTGTTTTCCCTTCAAAGTGCGCAGAGGAAACTGGTCTGGCATGATGCTGATTCCTCTCCATCAAGGCAGGAAGCAATGGGGTCAAGGTGACAAATGGAACTGGATCTATTCCTCTGGCCAACTGGAGAGATTTAGGCCAGTGAGGGGACTCCTTGAGACAAGGCTTCTGACCACAGAGTCCAAGGGCTTCCCATAGGAGAGGTGAACCAAACCAGATGGTCTTTCTTTAACCTGACTCTTCCGTGTGCAAACTCTGTATTAGTTTTCTATTACTACATAACAAATTACCACAAACTTAATG